TTAAAAATTATTTTTTAATTTATTAAATATTTAATTAAATTTATTTACTTAAAATTAATGTTAATTTTTATATTTTAAATATATATTTATAATAAAAAAATATTCTCAATATGTACTTTTTAAGTAAAAGTTATAAAAATTTAAAAATAAATTATGTATTGTAGAATATTTTAAAAAATGAACAATATAATTTTCTTTTCATTGTTATCTCTAAAAACAAAGTAACAGATATATATTAATCCATTAACATCTTATTAGAGTTCATAGAGTTTTACTTTAAAATAGAGTTGTCTTTTATATTTTTCTATAAAGAGGCGTTTTTTTTTAAATATTAATTTGAAAGCATGAAAATTTTAATTTTTAATTGTCTAATTGTTTAATAGGTAATTTTTTATTTTATAATTTAAAATTTTTTATTAAGTTAATTAAATAAAATAATATTAATATAACTTTTATAAAAACTCTGTTTGAATATATGTATTGAAGGAATGTTATGTTAAATATTTTATTCGAGAATTAAATATTTAAGATGTGAATTTAAATAAACTAATATTAATCATGAAGATGCTTCCAACTTGTACAAAAGCGTGTGTAAATGACATGGAGAGACACCTTTCTTTTTAAATAAAGCTCTAATAGGGCGTCAATAGATTAAATTTCTATTTATTGTTTAGTTTTTGGAGAAAATAATAAAAGAAAAATTATATTGTCCATGCTTTAAAACATTCAACAATACATGATTTATTTTTTAGTTTTTCTGATTTTTGCTTTAAAAGTATATATTAAGAGTATTTTTTTATTATAAAGATATATAAATTAACATTAATTTTAATGTTAATATTAAATAGATAAATTTTATTAGATAATTAATAAATAAAATATTAATTTTTATTTTTTAATATAAATTTATAATAAAAATATATATTTATATATTTTAAAAATATAAATTAAAAAGACCACATTTTTTATGGGACTATCAATAAAAATAAAATATTAAAAAGTGAATAAAAAAATTTTATAATAAACTCAAAAGAACCAGTTAACAATTCAAAATTATAATTGTACTACCCACGTGCCATCTTCAAGGGATACAAAAGCAATGGCAATTAGGAATACATTATCTTCACCAAATGAGAAAGAGATTTTTTTTTTTTTTTTTGGTGAAATGGGAATTTCATTGAAGCAAATTAAGCTCTTACCTTTAAAAACAAAATTTAGAGATTTTTTAAGCGGAAAATATATACATAATGTGGATATTTTTATTTATTTATTTTTTATGGTGAGATGTAAATCCTTAAAATGTTATTTTTAAAATATATATTAAGTGAGTAATAAATATATTAGTTTATAATTAATTTATATAAAAATAAAAAAAATT